TTTGTCGGCTTTGTTCGATTTTGAGATTTAAATGTTTGTCGGCTTTGTTCGATTTTGAGATTTAAATGTTTGTCGGCTTTGTTCAATTTTGAGATTTAAATGTTTGTCGTTTTGTTCGATTTTGAGATTTAAATGTTTGTCGGTTTTGTTTGATTTTGAGATTTAAATATTTGTCAGCTTTGTTCAATTACGAGATTTAAATGTTTGTCGGTTTTGTTTGATTTTGAGATTTAAATATTTGTCGGCTTTGTTCGATTTTGAGATTTACATGTTTGTGGTTTTGTTCGATTTTGAGATTTAAATATTTGTCGGCTTTGTTCAATTTTGAGATTTACATGTTTGTGGTTTTGTTCGATTTTGAGATTTACATGTTTGTGGTTTTGTTCGATTTTGAGATTTAAATGTTTGTCGGTTTTGTTCGATTTTGAGATTTAAATGTTTGTCGGTTTTGTTTAATTACGAGATTTAAATGTTTGTGGTTTTGTTCGATTTTGAGATTTAAATATTTGTCGGCTTTGTTCGATTTTGAGATTTAAATGTTTGTGGTTTTGTTCGATTTTGAGATTTAAATATTTGTCGGCATTTGTCAGCTTTGTTCAATTACGAGATTTAAATGTTTGTCGGTTTTGTTTGATTTTGAGATTTAAATATTTGTCAGCTTTGTTCAATTACGAGATTTAAATGTTTGTCGGTTTTGTTTGATTTTGAGATTTAAATGTTTGTCGGTTTTGTTTGATTTTGAGATTTAAATGTTTGTCAGTTTTGTTCAATTACGAGATTTAAATGATTAAACTGATTAAACTGATAAAGCAGCCTGACGCACACCTAAAATTGGAATGCAGCGTTTTTGCAGTTGAATGCGGATTTATATTTTAAATTTGATGAATATTCAAAATTAAAATTTTTATTTGACAGCCCTATGGCTCACGTTCTCTGCGCTCTGGTCCAGCTCAGGGATGCAGGGGTAGGTGTAGATGGTGATGTCTCGCGGCGCCAGCAGTTTGGCCTGCACCGCCGTGCTCTTCCCGTCCGTTTCGTTGGGGTGTTTGATGATGTCGATCTTCACCGGCAGCTAAAAAACAGCAGACGTGAGCTTTAACAAACACAGCGTTTGACTGCAGAACTCTTCCAAAGGGTCATAAAAGGAGATGTTTATTCATTTGATAGCCGCGTGTGGCGAACATTAACCGAAAACCTTGCTCTCAAATCACTTTGTTTTTCTTAAACTATGAGAAGAATGAGTATTTGCGAGCCGCGAGTCCACCTCAGGAATTTCCAGTGGGTTTTTAGAAAAGTGGTTGTGGATTTATGGAGCAAGTCGTGTTGTAGAACATCTCTTCCAGTAATGCTCACCGCAGAATTTATTTCACTCGTAAATCCAAAACCACCATTCTTAAAACAGTTCATTCCTCGAGGAACCGTGAAGAACTGGGTTGGTCCACAAATTAAACTCATAACAGCTCTATTTATGCACATTTAAATTCAACTCTGGCGATAACCAATAACAGTGAGTCATTCGCATCCAGTTATTTCAGCTGTTTGTTATGCTGCAAACTGGTATTTATCATATTATTATATTATCATAATCATAAATACACTAGTTTGTAACACAAATGGTTTTACTGTTTACTGCATATGTAACTGTTCTAGTTATGAACTCACACATTCAATTTTTTAATTGAATTTCAAATAATAGTCTGCAATCAAATTCAATAGGTTCTCAAGACCTTTGACAAACAACGTAAAAACCAAATGAATAGGCCTACATTTCTCATAATGTCTTATACTATTATATAATAAAATATAAATATATCTTATAATATGTAAAATAAAAATAAAAAAATTTTAAGAGCACCACATATTAAATGTATTTAACAGTGACAAGTTTTGGGTTTTGTTTAGTTTTACAGTTCTGGAGAATTCTGGGAAATGTGACTACTGTGATAATGACTTAAACTTTAGACTTTTGTTGTTGTTTTTTTGTCACATTGAAGCTTTACAGTATCAGTCCCCATTTACTTTCACTGAATGTGAAAAAAGGGGCAGCGTGAACATTCTGCTTAACATCTCCTTTTGCGCTCCACAGAAGAAAGAGTTTTGGTAAGAAAATGGACTCTTTACACTGAATTGTTATTTTACATGCGATCAGTTCTAATCTAATACTATCTGTGAGCCTGCAGCACAAAAGCAGTGTTAAGTCGCTGGGGTATATTTGTAGCAATAGCCAACAATACATTGTATGGGTCACAATTATACATTTTTCTTTTATGCCAAAAATCATTAGGATATTAAGTAAAGATCATGTTCCATGAATATATTTAGTAAATTTCCTACCGTAAATATATCAAAACTTAATTTTTGATTAGTAATATGCATTGCTAAGAACTTCATTTGAACAACTTTAAAGATGATTTTCTCAATATTTAGATTTTGTTGCACCCTCAGATTCCAGATTTTCAAATAGTTGTATCTCAGCCAAATATTGTCCTATCCTAACAAACCATACATCAATGGAAAGATTATTTATTCAGCTTATGACTGGTTTTGTGTTCCAGGATCACAAATGAAGTCATTAGTGACGCCAGTATGAATGATGCTTCTGTTCGCGTCGCTGTGTTTTCACGCACCTCGACGCTCGGAACGTCCCGCGTCTCCAGCCCGACCAGCGCGCAGCAGCTGTAGCAGTAGAACATGCGCGACGCACCGCAACGCGAGCACTTCCTCCGGCCGACGCGCTGCGCGGCATCCAGCGGGGCGTGCGACGCGAGCCGCAGGCCGCTCAGAGCGCTGCTCTCCTGATCCGACATCGCCACAACAACCCACGTGTGCACCACGCACCGGAAACACTACCGCGCCGCAGGAAACAGGAAGCGGAGCGACGGGCGGTTTCCTAGCAACAGACGCGACGCTGATGTTTGAGCTGGAGAAGACTGGTGAGTTCAAATAGTGACTATTAACTATTTAAAACAGCTAAGTTAACTAATACTAATACTGAATGATTCTCACGAAAACAGCCCAAAACTTCTGTGGTGCCTGTCAAAAGTTATTATAACATATTTTCTGAGTAAGACTTCTCTGACAGACACAACTGAAGTTTTGGGCTGATTTCGTGATATATATATATATATCAGTGGTGTTTTAAAATGAGGAGGCAGTTTTATATATAAATATGACATAAAAAAGAGAACAAATATAATTCTATTTTGTATTTTATTAATATTATTTAATATTTTTAATACTAATTATACATTTCATAGTGTTTTTATGCATTTTTATATTTATTCCAAAATAATAACTGAAGGCAGTAACAATTTGAGCAATATTTTGGGAAAAATTTACAATAATGTTTTAACATGAACTAAGAATAAACAATAGCCTACTTCTACAGCATTTATTAATCTTAGTTCATATTAATTTCAACATTTACTAATGCACTATTAAAATCAAAAGTTGTGTTGGTTAACATTAGTTTATGCACTGTGAACTAACTTGAGCTAAAAATGAACAACTGTATTTGTATTAACAAAGATTAATAAATACTATAATAAATTTTCATGTTAGTTAAGACATTAAATGGCACCTTATTGTAAAATGTTACCAATATTTTTTATTTGTGAACTGATCTTTTTAATAGTCAACTTATTTCAGGTCATCGTCAAAATCATGTTTATATTAATTATTAGCCCCTGAACTTTCAATTTTATAAATGTCTCTTAAAATGTTATCAAATGAAAATATAACAATTACTTTACAACAGAACTTTGCGTTTTTTTTGTCAAGTAAAATGCTGCACTACAGAGTTTTTTAAGTGTTTTTATACAATTTATAGTTAATCTTTTTCTGTCATAATTTGAAAAAAAAAGTATTCTGTCTCACTCAATTGTGATACATTTTTTCAGAAAATGAGTTAATATCTTTTAATATTAAATTTTTTTTCTCAAGGAAATATATCTTGGTTTTAAAATGTTTAAGTATTTGTACTGAAAAACAACGCAAAAATACAGAGGAAGAAAATCATCAGTCTACAGTATGTAGATCAGCATAAATTATAAATAATAGTATGAATTATTTAAATTATTTATATTTAAAATAATTAATTATCAATATTAATTTATAGTTTTAAATACATATTTTAATAATTTATATTAATTTAATAATTTTAAATATTAATTATTTTAATATTTACAATAATATTTGCATCTTGTATAAATAATTTAAAACTGAAATATATATCCTTGTATTTTGCCTTACGGTAATGAGAATTTGTGCGTTAAATTCTCTGTGTTTAATTGTCACGATGCAATTTTGTGTGGTGTGTTTCTGATGTTGAAATGTGAGCCGGTCGTTTATGTTGAGTCTCGGTGTTGTTTGAGGCTCTAACAGATTCCATTCAGATTCAGGGCTGTGATGAACGCAGTCGACGTGTCCGTGGCTCACGCTTTTGATTGTGTTTGTCGCAGATATACTGAACTCATGCTCTGTGCTGAAGGCAACAAACAAGCCCCAGATGAACGAGAGAGAAACACGCTTTTAAGATAAAACCCAAGACATATTCATGAAATGACAAGTGGCTCTGTGTAAAGATTCACAGACGGTGATGAAGCGCGCACATCTGACCCAGATGCTCCGAATCAAAGCCTTTTATCTGATGGAGGAATAATGTGGCTTTAGTGTGAGACCCGTCAGCCGCCGTTTACATTCAGAACATGTTACAAATTATCCACTAAATCCAACTTTGCGTGACTTGGCAGAAGAGCTCACCTACACTAACTCTGTTTGGGTCAGAGGAGTGTGTGTGTGTGTGTGTGTGTGTGTGAGAGAGTGTGTGT